CGGACACTGGCGCCACCGGGCCCTCTGACCACCACCAGTAGGCAACGGGTGAAGTGTCTTGCCCAAGGACACAACGACCGAGACTGTCGGAGCCGGGGCTCGAACCGGCAACCTTCCGATTACAAGACAAACGCCCAACTCTTGAGCCACGATCGCCCTATCTGTCACATACACAATCATACAGAGGACGATATGTAGTGAAATGCTTGTGTCAAGCTGAGGACATAGCTGTGCCATTCCAGGGCTTGGTTTTAGCATGGGCGGTCTGCAACTCCTGCTCCGAAGGTGTGTAGTTTTATCACTGTACTATCCAGATGCTGATACACTTCACTATAGAAGAAATTGTCAGAATTTAAATTCTAGCAGTTTCACTAGCAATCTTAATTTGCACTGTCACAGGACTACGCACAAAGATATACACTGACATATTTGTGGAAAAAGTCTCTGACCCTTTGGGCTATTATGGCTAAAGAAGATTGACATCTCTGTGACTGATGATGGATTCAAAGATGCTTAATCCCAAAGTGTACCATGTAAAATCATCACCGTTTTGTATAAAATTTGAGTTCATGTTAACTGTAGTGTAAAGCATAATAATCTTGCAGGTTATCTACAATGTTTCCCTGCATGTTTGATCAGTTTGGGACAATTTGTCTGCAGTGCCAAGAAAGTTAGAAATGTTTTGAGAAGTATGCTGAAGGAATTGTAAAATCATAATTAGTAGTCCTGCTGCTCTTTGAGCACTTGGTGGCATATGGCTATTGCACAACGTGAACTTTGTACATGGTGTACATGACATTATAGTTTGCATCTTACCATCTAAGGGTTATCAGTCAAACATAATAAATTATTCAGTTATTCTTTTGTCCTCTTACCATCCATTGGGTAGATATTCTCTGCATTGGGTGAACAGTTTCTCATGCACTCTGCTTCATTTTCAAAGCGGTTGGCATTTCCACCTTCACCTTTATATATGAAAGGACTGCACTGATCTTTGGTGGAATCATAATACACAGCAAAGTTGAAGCTTGAGCCATGACCTTCATTAGGAGTTAAATGACATTTATCTGATGGAATAGAAAATATAAGACAGTCACTGCACAATACACTGTGTTTCACTTAAAATCAGTGGATGCATTGCAGAAAACAGACTAAAAGAAAATCTATCAGACTAATACTGAACTGAAGAAGCTTCTCGGATGAGAGGTGAAATGTCTTCAAGCAACTTAAAGAAGTCCAGACGCTTTTCTTTGCAAGCTCCTTTGACTATCAGACTAATAGATACTGATAGATTGCAGGTAAGAAATCCAAAATTCTTTTTATTTTAAATGGTGGATTTCATTTCCAGTAACTTGTATCTAATCATTTGTTGTCCATATTGGAGAAAACATGTATAGGTGTCCCGTGCTTTGGATAGAATTAGCACTGACCTATTAAACGTACAGTGATTTATTGACATATGAACACAGTATCTGGAAGTGTGTGTAGAAGAAAGAGAGCCCACTGTCCTCACCCTGGACAACAGCACAGGTGGAATTGCAGCTGTTGTAGTCAAAAAATCTGTTTCCATTTCCGAGGCATCCTGTCCAAAGGAATCTTTTGCATTTTTTATCAATGGAATCATAGTAGTATCTCAAATATTTGCCATTACATTCACCTTCAGCCTTTTCTAAGGTGCAACCTTTAGATGCTGTGTAGAGAAAACATCACCATAATTATCATCATCATCATCATCATAGTAATTAAAATAGTCAAAGCAGTTGTTTTTAATGTTTCCAGTTATTTTATCTACTAAAAATCTCAGGTGAGTTTGAATCTCAGTAACATTGACCTGAAAATTAGATTAGTCTTGTTATCATTAGCTTCTGTAATTTTAGCCTTTTTAATATAATTGATTGAATGGTTTTTGTCAGAGCCAAGATTTAAGAAATTCACCACAGATATGAAGTTTTCTCATTTCCTTATTGTTAAAAACTTAGTAGTAACTTAGCTAGTGATCTCTCCACCTGGGTCAAAAATAGGTCTTAGTTACAGTTCCTCCAAGTGAAGTGTAACCATGGCACACTTGGGGAATCTGTAACAGACTGTATTCTTTTGGTATTTTGGTATTTTTAGTGAAATGTTATCGCTCTATAAAAAGCATCTAATTCACAAGCATGACCTGCAGACCTGAAGTCTACAGTTTTCCTGGTCGCCATGTGAACAATGTCACGATTTTAACACTGATAAAAGTAGTAACACAGAAGGCCAAAGCAAGACAAAATGAACCTTAAGTAAAGATGTCAGGACAGAAACTAGAGCTTCATCTCACAAACACAAAAAAGCTGTTGTGGTTGGGCATGAAAATCAATAGATCCTCTTAGTGGATGGGGAACATCGGGTTTCACAGGCTGTGACCTCAGGTCTGTTATGTAAATATGGACAAGTATGGTATTCACAGAAACACTGGAATCTCAGCTAAAAGCTCATACAAACCATTTCTATGACCAGCGAACACAGCTAAAACAAAAAAGAAATAAAAGAGCAGGTAAACAAATTCTGCAATCGCTCATTCACCTCACACCACATAAGCAGACGAGTAACAGCTCTACTGAAAACCGACATCTGACAGCTTCATCACGCTCTGACCCAAATTCAGCAGAACCAGCAGAAAAACAGTAAAAACAGTAGTATGTAGCATTAATCTTTATCTTACCTGTGCTGTCTTGCTTAACAGTGTTTTGTACATATAATGTACATGTAAATGTCATTTTTGAGCAGGAACATCAGAAATTAAACTTGGCGTTGATTTAAAGCCATGTAATGAACATTTGGATGAACAAAAGCTGTTCAGTAAAAAGGGAAGTTAAGTTTTCTAAGAGCATATACTGATATTCCATTAAAATAAATAAACTAAATGCATTTCACTGTAGTAAGGAAGAAATTGCCAGAATGGAAATGTGTTTTGGTCCTTGCTATTTGCTCTTCTAGCCCTAATTTGCACTGCCACAGACAGAGCGAAGCATACTGACACATCTCTTTGATGGGCAGGTATGTTGGAGAAGATGTTCTTTTAGTGCAAATCATAACTATCTTGCAGGTTATCTGCATTATTTCCCAGCATGTTTGAGCTGTTTGGGGCAATTTGTCTGCAGTGCCAAAAAGTGTAACAGTCCTGCTCTATAAACAGTTGATAGCATTAGTGCTTCGATCCTACAGTCTTTTGTGCGAGGTAAATACATGCTAAAATGATCCAAGAAAAAGGTCAACCTTCATATCTCAATATGGAAAAGATATATATAAATCTTATAAAGTTTGTATCTGTCTTGTATGAAACTTGTATGAAAAGCATACAAGAGTGAAAACACATATAAGATCCCTTGAAAAATTATATAATGAAACTTGTATGTTGTGGATACTTACTAAAAAAATATATGAAAGTAATGAGAAAGTGGCCACTTTCATGAGTAAATCATATATGTTTTTACTATTTCTTTTCCATATGGGAGTCTCTCCCTCTCTTTCTTTCTCGATGTGAGATTTATCTTATTAGTCAATTCATGCTCCTCAGAAAACAAGGAAGTAGGAGAAATCTTTAGTTTACATCCACTCTTGGCATTCTTTGAAGATTACATTACATTTTGCATTTTAAGATCTTAAGGTCAGATGTTAAACATAGAAAATTATTCAGTTGTTCTTTTGTCCTTATAGATCTTACCATCCATAGGGTAGATATTCTCTGCATTGGGTGAACAGTTTCTCATGCACTCTCTTTCATTTTCAAAACGGTTAGCATTTCCTCCTTCACCGTTGTATAGGAAAGGAGTGCACTGATCTTTGTTAACATCATAATACATAGCAAAGTTGAAGCTTGTTCCCTGGCCCACATCAGGAGGTAATAGACAGAAATCTGTTGAAAAAGAAATAAAGTACTGTAAGATTTCTTGTATAGGCGACATTTGATTTAGGTGTTTTGGTTTTAATCAAGTTCTGCACTTCATAATGATCATAAGTAGCATTGGGCCACAATATGTTGTTTTAGTAGAAAACACGAACACATATTTTTTCACATACATTTTCAGACCTCTTGCTTTTGAATGATTTCAAAAGTTCTTTCATCTAAAAATTCACTGGACATTGTTGGAAAATGATCCTGTTATTACCTCTTGGGTGCTAAAATTAATCTCATCATGCTCACAACTGATGGGCTCGGACAGAAATTATCTCATTAGTTAAACGTTTGGCATTATAGAGGAAGAAATCATCCAATCAGCTTTGAAAGGCTGTCAAGAGTATATAAATACCATTTCCAGGGGATTAAATGTGCAGTAAACACCATTGGTAAAAGTAGAAGACAGTCATTATTCACTTGCAAGTCACAATATGAACATGAAGTCAGTAAAGACCTAAAATACAATTTTAGGATTTTAGATGTAAGCTTAAACATAACCCTGACAGAGAACGACCAGAGGATCAATAAACTTTGTTTTAAATAGTGCCTTCTTTAAATGAAATGTAAATTACCTCTAATTTAAGACAAAAACATTTTTATGTACCTGGAATGTTTGAATGGCTGATTTTGAAAGCTGAAAGGACAAACCCCCAAAACAGAAGGTGCTTCATCTTGCTGCTTGTCTTCAGGATATCTTTCACAAGTGAGAGAAGGTTGTAAACTGCAGTCTGACCTTTGGAGTTTCTCTGCATGGTGACACCTTCCAAATGTAAGGTAGTCCTATGGCTTTATTACTGCTACTGTATAGAGTTTATAGCCAGATATAAATGATCTATAGATCACAAAAAAAAAAACCCAGAAACATGTATTTTGACCACCTGCACTACAGCAGAAATCTACACAGACGGAGTGAGGCATAGTCTATGTCTACAAAAGCCAGGAAATTTTTGTAAACTAACTTGCCCTGTCCTAGCGTTACAAGAGAGAGTTACTCTGTCTTATTATTTGGCTGTTATTTCTACAATACTTACATCAGCTTTCCACTCTTAGATTTTTAGCATTAATGTATGATCATGTTTGATGTGAGGCTTTCTGTTAAAAAGAAAGTCATCCATCCATTTTCCTCTGCTTATCCAGTTCAAGGTCGTGGAGCTCAGCAAAGCTGGAGGGTATGCTAGCTGTATGTCATAGGGATGTTAGGCAACACCATGACTAGGTCACCAGTCTGTTGCAGGGCTAATACAGACAGACAGATACCACTGGCATTCACGTTCACTTCTGGAGTCAATTTAAAATCACAAATTAACCTGAACCCTGTGCACAACTTTGGAATGCAGGAGAAAGCCAGAGTACCCAGAGAGAACCTGCACAGAGATGCTTCCAAAAATGTTTTTTGGGGGGAAGCACCACACAGAAGGGGCTCAGACTGGATTCAATACCAGGATCTTATTTCTGTGAGGTAACCACCGCACTAACCAAAAGAAAATTACATTTGTCATATCTTCAAACAGCAAGTTACAGAGACAGATTGATATCCTTTAATCAGGAAATAAAAGTGGCGCTGGCAATGGTAATCAGGTTCCGCTGTGCTGGAGTGGCTGAGAGTAGTCGCTGTAACCATCATCACAACCTCAGGTCATTTAAAGACATATTTTTTTAATCTGGGCATGCATTTCTACCCAGATTGCATTTTGATGCTGTCCCCTTAGTTACACCTGTTCAACGATGATCTCATGTATTTAAATATGTGAGTGTGAATGTACCTACCATTTGTAATATTTAAAAAAACACACTCCAGTTGAATGGATGTGTGTTTTGTGAGACCCCTTATGTTGGTAAATTGGCTATACAGTTTACAGTTTCTCCCAGAGTTTAAACACATTTCCAGAAACTCCTGTGCCTCAATTTCTCAGAATGAGTAGTTGCAAAGTAGTTAACTTCTCTGACAAGAAGTTAACTACTTTGCAACAATTTGGCATATCTCTGAAAAGGAAACAGAGCACTCAAGGCTGTATTCTTAAAACACATTCTTTCCTCCCAAATAATAGACACAGTTGTTTTACACTTTTGGCTTACAGACGATCGAACACTGATGTGATTAAATGATCAAAACGCTATCAAAAGTGTTCATGTATACTTTGGTTTCATGAAGCCATGTTACATATTTAAATGTATAAAGTGTGTGTGGAAAGGCCTTTTCTTTTGTAGGTTACTACATGTTACACCTATGCAGTGTAAGGACAATGAGAAGCATTGCAAAGAAAGGAGTGGTATCAGATACAAGAAATAACAAAATTAATATTTATTCCTTTCTGAGCTGACAAGCTTCAAGGAAAGAGGAAAATACTTTTCATAGCCCTATAAACTGATAATCAGTGAAAATAAATAAATTGAATACATTTGATTTCACTAGATTTTTGTTCTCTTAGCTCCAATTTTCACTGACACAGGCAGACACAGTGTCAAATGGATGGCCAAAAATAAACTGTGAGATACATTTTATTGTTGAGAATAGCTTCTGACTTGATGGGCAAGTATGTCTAAAAAAGATTGTCAACACTGACACGTTACTTGATCATGTCTGTCACTTTGAATTCAACAAAACATTGCATTTAAAATGATCAGATTTTTGGATGCAACTTTAACTTCGGGTTAACTACAGTGCAAACTATAATTTGGTGCAGGAAGTTTAGAAATGTGACCATGCAGCTAACAAAAAAATGGTCCCACGGTTCTTTAACCATTTGGTGGCATATGTCTGGTGCTCAGTATGAACAGCCTACAGCCTCTTACATGAAGTAAGTTCACCTAGAAAGGATTCATGAAAAGTAAATATTAACAATGCATAAACATAGATAGATTTTAGGGTAGTTATAAACCAGTTTCCCTCTATGACTAACACAGTAATCCTTTACAAAGTTGGGTCTCTCTCTTGCTATCAGACCACGTCATCAGCCAGTTCAAGGTCCAAATTAAGTAGGACTCTTTTTAAAAGTGTATCAGTAATATCAGTTATATAACATTACATTTTGCATGTCAACGACCAAAGGTTCATGGTTTTACACAATGCATTGTTCAATTGTCATCCATTAGGTAGATACAGAAAATGTCTGACATTGCATACTTTACCTTTGTAATATGACTGCACTGATCTTTGCCTGAATAACACAGCGAGGTTTAAGTGTGAGCCATGGCCTTCACCAGGAGCTAATAGACACATTTTATTTTTTGTATTGTATATAAACTGGTTCTTGGATTTACCTTTAAATCAACAATCACTCACTTTCTTTAAGTGATAGAGTCATAAACAACAGTGCGACTTTTGGATAAGACAAATTTTAAAAAGACAATGGCAGTGCTAGACATTTATCAGAATCAGAATACTTTATTATTCCTCGTTTACAGCGAACACTTTTATTGTATAGGCAAGATATGTATATGTGTACGTATATTGCTGACCTACACCTACGATCGTGGCTCAAGAGTTGGGAGTT